CAGAACAAGCTCAATGGCACCTACCGACACAACAATTACCTTTGACTTGATTCTGACTCCTGGCAACCCCATGGTGCTGAGTGGCTGGTGGGTTTCAACTACTGACTTGCAACTAGCTGCCCAGTGCTACCCTTTACTCACCATGACTATGATCAGATGTAAGGGAGATTCTCAGGGGTATGGCATGCAATACTGGGCACTAGGGCTGACAGTAAAGGGGCCTGCTTGTCTGAAGTGCAAAGAGGTGTGTGTGAATTCCCAAACTTGCAGCTGGTACCTATTTGCCCTAGCTTGGATAGCTAGGGCTGAGCTGACCAGAACCCAACCAGATGAAGATAAAGATGTTTGATACTGTGAGCTGGTGTCAATTGCTACAATTTGATGAACTGGACTTATGGAGGCAGCTGCTCAAAATTCCAACCAGAATGGAAGGATTCTTCAAATCAAGAGACATGCCTGCCTCCTTAGTGTACTGGGGTTGATGTTGTTAAGCGCTGTCAAGTTGATTCTGACCCATAGTGACCCTGTATAGGGTTTCTGAGGAGCAGCTGAGTTTGAACCGTCGACCCTGTAGTTCAAATGGCTTTGCAGTCTGGAACATTAACCCACAGGCAATTTAGACATTGGCTATCAAAAAATGGGGGAGGGGCAGCTATAAAGGCATGAAGCGGCTGGCTTACAAGCTTTCATGGGTGTGCTTAGTTTTAGAATTGAGTGGGGTAAGGTGAGAATCCCCACAGAATAGTTTCCCTCTTCTCCAGATGAAAGGGGATGGGGGATGATGCTGATAAGATTTTAGGATTCAATTGTGAATAATTGTTAGCAGGATTTTGATTTTTACAGCCGTAATTACAGGTGTGTAAACTAAAAGGGGGGAATAGTTGATCTTTCATTTTAGGAACAGACAATCCCAGGACTATTAAGGAGGAAAAGCATGAATGGAGCATGGGAGCCTACCTAAAAAAAGTGGTGACAGCAGAGACGGTGGCAGAGGTGATGGAATGGAGAGACAGAGCAGCTGCGGACTCTAGGCCAATGGACTGAATAAGGCTGTGTGCCTGCAGGCAGGAGACTGGCTTGCAGAATATGCTCTTTGGACATTTTGTTGTTGTTTCAACCCAGAGCAACCCTGTTTAGGGTGTCCAAGGAGCAGCTGGTGAGTTTGAACCACCAATGAATACACACACACACACACACACACACACACGTGTGTGTGTGTGTGTGCGCATCAAATTTTTTGCTTTGTAAATGGGGACCCACAGAGGGACGAACGATGACTGTTGTTGCAAGAATGGAATTGTAATCATTGAGATGAAAGTGTATGATTTGTTGAATATAAAGCTGATGATGATCTTGTCTGTAAATGTTTACTCAATTTCACAATATTTAAAAAAAAAAAAAAAAGATGAGAGAGCAATGAAAAGAGAAAGAAACATCAACAAGAATGAAGACCCAAGAATGGAGTGTGTCCTTTGGGCCTGAGGTCCCTACATTGTGAACCAGAGAAAGATTGAGGCCAAGACACACAGAGAGCTCCAAAGAATGCTGCGTCTACGGATGCTGAAAGAAAACGAGGAACTTTCCCCATGTGCTTTGAATTCAGACTTCTAGCCAACATTGTGAGATAATAAATTTCTGTTTGCTAAAGTCATCCACTTTTGGATAACTAAGATAAACACCATAATTCGAATGCATCAACTCTTGCCCACTCTTCCTTATTCATTGTTCAGCTTTGACATGTATCTATGGCAATTGAAAAATACTTTGACTTAGGTTAGGAGCACCTCAGTCCTCAAAATGACCTCTTTATTCTTTTGCAACAGATTTGCATAATGCAATCCATCCTTTAGTTTCTTGTCCCTGGCTTCCATGAGCACTGATTGTGGAGCCAAGTAAAATGAAATCTTTGACAACTTCAATCTTCTCTCCTTTTATCATGACGTTGTTTACTGGTCCAGTTGTAAAGATTTTTGTTTTCTTTACATTAAGGTGCAATTCATACTGAAGGCTGTAGTGTTTGATATTCATCAGTAAGACCATCAAGTCCTCTTTGCTTTCCATAAGCAAAGTTGTATCATCTGCATATCACAGGCTGTTAATGAGTCTCCCTCCAATCCTGATGCCATGTTCTTCTTCATAGAGTTCAGCTTCTGAGATTATTTATTCCAAATATGGACTGAATGAGTATGGGGAAGGGATACAGTCCTAACAAACACCTTTCCTGATTTTAAACCATGCAGTAACCCTGAATTCTGTTCTAATGACTGCCTCTTGGTCTGTATACAGGTTCCACACGAGCACAATTCAATGTTCCAAAATTCTCATTGTTCACACTATTATCTATAGTTTGCTATGACCCACACAATGAAATTCCTTTAGGTAAACAATAAAACACAAATAAACATCTTTTTGGTATTCTTTGCTTTTAGCCAGCATCCATGCAATGTCAGTAATGATATCCCTCATTCCACATCCTCTTCTGAATCCAGCTTGAATTTCTTGCATTTTCCTGTTGATGTGTTGCTGCAATGCAAAGTCTACCATCACCTAGTGTATACCTACTTGGGATCACACTGAAGTCCTTTGGGTTTCTGGCTAGCACATATAAGAATATACACTGGGTTGAAAATCACAGTAATTCTGTTCTCATGACTGTACAATCTGGGCAATCATGAATTTGAAGTAAATGTCCTTCTGGATCAGACTGAGGGGACTCACCCTCTCTTGCTGACAAGATGCCTGCAGTTGCCTCCCTAATTTCAGGATGAGCGAAGATGAAGGATCTTTTTCTGCCATAATTGGAGGTGCCTAGGAAATGAGCGGGAGTTCGGCAGTTCTGTATGATAAGCTGTGTCTGGACTGGCAAAGTCTGGAGACATTTTGGGCTGTCATGACTTGAGAAGAGGGGTTGATACTGGCATGTGGAGGGTAGACACCATACTGTCTGTGCTTACAGTTAGATAAATAAAAAAAGTAAAAAAATAGAGGTAAACCTTGTTTTATACTTGTGGAATACAGTAGTAGCAGAAATGAGAATGCAACAATGTGATAACATTTTTTATGCATCAAATTGTCAAAGTTTAGAATTTGTTAACATTCGTCACTGGCCAAAGGGGTAAGGAAGTGGAACTCATATAGTACTGATGCCACTGAGACTTCCTTTTGCTAAGGCAATATCCTGGTGAGGAAGTGGCTAAGACCTCAACAGCCATTGTTCGGAAGAAAGATCTGACAGTCTGCTTCCTTTCAGCCTTGGAAACCCTATTAGAGGCCATTCTACTGTCCGGTAGTGTCGCTGTCGCTGGAACTGCTGTGAAACTAGAACTATGTGTTCATCTTTATGGGAAGCATCTCGCAAGTCTTTTCTACCCGGAAGTGACTAGAGAGTTCCACCTATTGCCCTTCCGGTTAGCAAGAGACCTCTTAACATTGAGCTACAGGTTTGATACTGGGTCGTCTCCTGCTTGCTAAGTAAACTTATTTCTTAGGAGTTTTCATTCAGTTCTCTAGCTTCACATGATTATCTCTACTGATAAACTCATTCTGACCCATACATATAACCCACTGTCAGGAGTCAGACTCACTGTGACCCTAAAGGACAGAATTGTCCCTATAGGGTTTCCAAAGTTGCAAATAGTTAGGAAAGCAACCGCATCTTTCTCCCTAGGAGTAGCTGGTGGGTTAGAACCGCCAAACTTGTGGTTAACAGCCCAACGCTTAACCCACTGCGCCACCAGAGGCTTCGAAAAGTTTGCCAAAAGATTTCATTTCCCCATGAACTTTTCTTTTTTTTTTTAGATTCCAAGTCATAGTGACCCAATGTAGGGTTTGTTTTTTTTAAGGTTTTTATTGTGGATTGAGTGAAAGTTTTCAGGGCAAATCAT